TAGAAATATGGTATCTAACCAGATTCTTACTCTGGATGGCATTACCTTGGCCTCCAGTAACACTGTGAGGAACCTTGGAGTCATTTTTGACCAGGACATTTGCTTCAACACACATATTAAACAAATATGTAAGACTGCTTTCTTCCATTTGTGCTTCATCTCTAAAATTAGAAATATCCTGTCTCAGAGTGATGCTGGAAAACTAGTTGCATTTATTACTTCCAGGCTGGACTACTGCAATTCATTATTATCAGGAAGTCCTAAAACTCCCTGAAAAGCCTTCAGTTAATCCAAAATGCTGCAACAAGAGTACTGACAGGGACTAGAAAGAGAGAGCATATTTCTCCTGTATAGGCTTCCCTTCACTGCCTTCCTGTTAAATCCAGAATTGAATTCAAAATCCTGCTCCTCACATACAAGGGGTTAAATAATCAGGTCCTATCTTATCTTAATGACCTTGTAGTACCATATCACCCTATTAGAGCACTATTAGAGCACTATTGGAGCGCTTACTTGTTGTTCCTAGAGTATTTAAAAGTAGAATGGGAAGCAGAGCATCTCTGGAAAAAGTCTGTTTTTCCCAGAAATGACTGCAAAAAGCAATTTTATAAGTAAAAAGAACCATTAGTGAATTTAAACATGCAATTCCATCCATCAGCTAAAATAAAACTTGTTTGAGGATTTTTTTTAATGAGAGAAGCTGTTGAAAACTACTTAAATCTACTCCTTGGAATTATAGACTGAACTCAATAGAGTCTATCACTACTACAATCCACTGTTTTAGTCTTTCAAGTAATTGATAAATTGGCAGACTGTCAAAAATGACAAATAACAGTTTTGCTAATTTCACTTAATCTTAACCTCAAAACTCAGAGCACGTACATCCAGGTGACATGCTTCCTGCCAGATAACGATAAACATCAAAGCATTCTCTGCATCAAATGTTACGCTGCAGTTTAAATTTCAGGGAGAAAACCTGGAAAAAGCACCAAGTTCAGTTTGGTGTGTGCAGAGTGTGAGCTGAGCGAGCTGTTGTAAAGTGCAAGAGGTGATTTCACTGCACACGCTCAGTCCTTCTGCTACGACACACGTCCAGTCTGCCCGATGCTCCAGATAAACTTTGCCTCATCTGCACATTGTTACAAGTGCCTCACTGGATGCTGAGTTCGTGCTACATACGTGATGTAGCTTTCACCGATGTCCCACTTTCTCAGGGACGGACTCAGCTCGGTGGTTTCTGCTGCTCTGTGACACCTAAATGCTGACAGAGGAAGTGCTTTACATTGTTCTCCGAGACTGTAAAACGAAGCTGGACTTCAAATTAATTACAAGATGGATGACATGGAAAAATCTTTTTTCTGCACTGCTGATGGTAAATGTGAAGATTGTGTATCTGTATTTTTGGGGGTGCACCTCCATGTTGCTGGGAAAATGGGAAACAGCTGCAGCAATTTATTGAAACATACATGGACATACAGCACATGAGGCAAAAACAGAGTTTGTGCAACTCTAACAAGCTTGACAGTGAATGATTGGTGTAACCATTTTTATAAAAGGTTCTGCAGGCTTCTTGAAGGACATTCAAAGCTGAATGGATGTTTCTGCCTTTTGTTCTGCTGTCTGCCAGGATGATCCCACACTGCTTTGTGTGCTTCTATCCAGGTGTTTGGGATCATTGTCCTGCTGAAAAATGCTTCTCTTCATTAAGAATGTCTTCCTGACAGCCGCCCTTCCACTGATCCATTTCTGGTGAGGCTTCAGTGAACAGTTGATGGATCAGCTCTCACGAGTCAGGATCTACACCCTCTCAAACATGGCTAAAAAACATACGCGTGAAAGGAGCAAGATGTATGGATGGAGGATGTTTGGTACGACCCGGGGTGAGATGCCTTAAAAGAGCATGAATGGGAAAAATTCTAGGCGATAACTCAAGAGTTGATAACTGGAGACATCCTGATCAGGAAAGCGGTGACACATCTTCAGTGGGAGGAGATTCACTGACTTGACCTCTAACGTCTGTTACCTTCTTAGTAAAGAAGCAAGCAAAGTCATGAGGTAGAGAGATGTCACCAGTGAAGGAGGACAGGGTGGAAAATAATTTCCTAGTGCACGGAGCAGGTGGATTTTGTAATGGAAAAATTCCATTTTTGCTGAAGTTAAGCTGGAGGCAAATGCCTAATAGGAGATTCAATGAGGTCCATAAAATCTCCAGGTTTAAGTTATTTTCTCTCAGAGTCTCTGAGATCTGTCTGCAGCTTGCCTAGATAGCAACGGCTGGGATGGAACAGCCTGAGCAGATCTAATGGAAAGAGGAGTGAGATTGCCAGGCCCCAGTTAGAGTGGAATAGAGGGTATCTGAAGCATCATTTATTCTTGGAAGGAAGAATGAGCCTCGGCGGCGGTGGTGTGGAAATGAGCAGGCACGAGGTTACAGAGATTGTGTCAAAAAGAAACCATCAAATTTCTTCTTCAGTGAGGGAAGAAATGATCAAACCCACACCTGACAGTTCTGACACTCTTAACTTCACTGTCTGTGAAAGTGAGTGCTCTCTGCAGCTGCTGGGTCTCAGGTTTGCCATTTGTGCTCTCCCCCACCCAGATCCTGGTGCTGGCGGTCTCCTCCTGTTGAAACAGAGTTTGTCTCTACTGTGGCCGAGTGCTGCTAATGGGGTCTGATCTTTGGGGGTCTCCCTTTTGATAAAGTACTCCCCATGCACGAATGAGACTCTATATTACTTCAGTGCTAGCATGTGCTTGTGTCTGAAGTGCAGTGGGAGATTGCACTACATGCGAATCTGGCCATCCAGTCTCAGAAACTTTGCTTTCATGCCGGAGGAGAAGCAACCATCAGTCATGACTTCCCCTTGTGCTGCTCTGCCGATGAGTGATGACGATAGAAAAAAGAAAACAGCATTTACAGCACCCAGTTTCCCCCCTTCCCCCGGGATGGTTTAATATCCCGAGTCGTGTTGTCGCCTCTGAGATCAAGCTGATCAACCGAGGGTTCATTCTGATGTTGTCAAGTTTAAAAAAATGAAAGCAGCAGAGGAGGCAGAGTGCAGAAGGGCCAATCTCACTCCTCCTCCTGCTGCTGGACATGAAGGTGAAAACTGAGGTTGATAATGGATCAGGCACACTGCTGGAATACTAACAGGCAGAGTAGATTACCATGGCTGCTGCGTTTTTTCATTTGCCCCCGAGCAAACGCAATAAAAGCAAGGAGGAGGCTCCGGCAGGCTAAAAGGTTTGTCAGCTGAAGGAGGCTATAACTCTGAAAGCCTTGAAAAGAATGTCTTGGAGATAAAAAGAGAAAAAAAGTGAGCAAGTAGAGGAAATAAAAACCTCCAACTTTGACGCAATAATAGAATTCTGAAGCAGAGGAGGGAGGTATGTGAAATGCAATAAACAGGAAGTCAGAGCAGGACAGTCACTTTTTATTTCCTATCACAGTTTTATAACTGATTGTTTCAGTACAACATCCCATCCTATAAACACTCTTCTCCATCCCGGTGTGAAACTTTTCTTTATCGCTCTTCTCTAAATTATAAAGTTCCTGATGTGCTCTTTTACCCGTCTTGTCCAGCAGTTGTAGCAAGCAGAAAGATAGTCTGAATGCTTTGTTGTGCCAATCACATTTGTTCACGTACAGGTGTGATCTATCTGTAGGAGCAAGGAGCTCACTATCAGTCCATCCGAGTCCAGGCTTTGTTGTACAGTCTAAGCAGAGAGGCTTAGACTTCCTCCTGCTCCACTAGCTGATACTTGGTTGTTCCTAAAGAGCCAAGACATATTCTGCCCCAAGATCTCCTACTAGTAGGACGGGCCTGAAACAGCCCAAGAAGCATCCTGGAGGCATCCTAGACAGAAGTGACACAGCTGTCAGCAACAGGTTCTCTGAGCAGAAACGTTGGCAAACTTAACATATCTCCTGAAAATGGCAGCTCTCCGCGGATACTAAACTTTGAGAGCGTGTGTGGGAAACCGTCCAGAAGTGGTGGCTCGTCATTTGCGACCTCTCGAAAACTCAGAAGTTGATGTTTTTGAACCGTAGCGGTGAGAGAGAGGAAGGACTAGCATCAACTAGCTAGCCGGTCGTCACGGCAATGCTACAGGAGCGTCTCTCAGCATGGGCCTGAAAAAAGTTCTGTCAGCCGAGGAAGGTGACGATATTAAGAAGTCGCTGGAGTTTATGACAGAGGAGATTTGTCTGTCAAACTGCAGCAGAAAGCCATCCTGGACCTGGTCGAGGAAGGTAAGGCTCTCCGCATCCAGAACGCCTAGAAGGATCGGCGGCTGGCGTACCTGGAGAACAGAGTGGCGGATTTGGAGCAGTACACCCGGATGAACGATGTCATCATCACGGGGCTTCGCATCAAACCCCGGTCATACGCCCGGGCGGTCGCCGCTGACAATGTAGGAGGGCCAGGAGAGGAAGATGTCAACTCCACGGAGCATCAAGTGGTTACCTTTCTACGGTCCAAAGTTGTGGAAGTGGATTATAACAACATTGAGGCTTGCCACCCTCTACCCCGAAAAAATGACAGTGACAAACCAGCCATCATTGTGAGATTTGCAAACAGAAAGCACAAAACAGTACTGTTAAAACAAGGAAAGAAACTGAAAGGATCTGATGTCTTCATGAATGAACATCTGATAAAAAGAAATGTGGACATTGCCAGGAAGGCATGTTACTTGAAGAAACAGGGAAAAATTCAAAATACATGGACCACCAACTGCAAAGTATTCATTAAACTCAATGGAACACCGGAACAAGCCAAAGTGTTGGTCATCAGAAATATGGAGGAGCTGGACAAATACTGAGGTTCAACTTACTCTGGAGGTATGAATACACATGTGACGTGACACAAAACACAACACATGGCACAGTCCAAAAGAACTTCATCTGCATCCGGCAACAATATCAATATAACTCATTGGAATTCTCTTTATGATAATCTGGAACTGAGAACATTTCGATACACAGACCATAATGTTCTAGACTTAGAAAAGGATATAGACCCGGAAAATAATTTCTTCTACAACATCAGCAGTAACTGCTGCTACTTCACTGATGAACAGTTTAAGCACACCATCAACACGGAAAATAAATTATCAATAATCCATTTTAATAGCAGAAGTCTGTATGCCAACTTCAACAATATAAAGAAATATCTAAATGAGTTGACAAATCCATTTGGAATTATTGCCATTTCTGAAACAAGGATCAATGCGGAGAAAGGACTGGACTTTGGACTGGAGGGATATGATGTGAATTTTGTAAATAGAAGGAACAAGAGTGGAGGGGGAGTAGCTGTGTACGTGGATAAAAACCAAATTACAAGGTGGTAGAAAGTATGACAACTGTAATTGATAATTTATTAGAATAGAATTGAAATTTATAAGGAAAAAGAGAAAAATGTAATAATTAGCTGTATATATAGAACACCTGGCTCTAGTATTCAAGTATTTAATGACTTCATAGAGGAAATATTCTCTAAAACAAATCAAAAAGTTATGTTTATCTGTGGTGATTTTAATATTGACCTGTTGAATCCGAAAAAGCATAAAATAACCGACGAATTCCTAAACACTATGTACAGTTTGAGTTTACATCCTAAAATAACCAGGCCTAGCAGAATTACACCACATTGTGCCACCTTACTTGACAATATTTTCGCTAACAATATGGAAAACAACATTGTGAGCGGAATATTAGTTAAAGACATCAGTGATCACCTACCAGTTTTTGCAGTTTATGACACTAATTATAAGAGAAATCAGCATGAAGAACAACTGAGATACAGATGTGTAAGGACAGAAGAAACTATGAATGCACTTAAGAACGATCTATTAAATCAGGACTGGGACAATGTGTACAAAGAAACTGATATTGATATTGCATATGGCATATTTTTAAGAATGTTCATGGAATTGTACGATAAAAACTGTCCAACAATAAAATACAACAGAAAGCACAAATATTCAGATAGACCATGGATCACTAAGGGTTTACAAAATGCATGTAAAAAGAAAAATACACTCTATAGGGAATTCCTACAACAAAGAACAAAAGATGCTGAAAATAAATATAAAAAATACAAAAATAAGTTGACCAATATTATACGTGTATGTAGAAAGGAGTATTATAGTAAAACATTGAACAACAATAAACATAATATGAAGGGAATATGGGATGTTTTAAACGGTATCATTAAAAATAATTCTGGACAACAAAGTTATCCTCAATACTTTATTGACAATGGCAATATTATGGAAAACACTGCTGATAAGGTCAACAGCTTTAATCATTATTTTGTAAATATTGGACCAAAACTGGCAGAACAAATTCCTGAGTCACTGCCATCAGTAGACTGTAGTGAAAACCTGATTGATAGGAAC